GTAACATTGCTGTATAAATTTGATCTCAGTAGCCTCTCTATAAAAAGAATGCGTACTTTGAGAAAATGCGACAGAACATTCCCGCCAACCTCATGCATACATACATACATACACAGACAAACATACATACATACCACAAACATACGTACACACAGACACACACCACACGCAAGCATACACATAGACACACACCCACATACACACAATGCACAAATAAACGGCCCACACCACCCACACCAGGCAGATCCATGCACACAGACACAAGACCACACAGACACCACGCGCATACATACACAATACACACTTATGAACACGCACACGTACAGAAACACTTAGCGAATTCTATCAGGGTGTCCCAGAAGTTCGAGATATCAAACTTTTTCCGATACAAATTTATTTCATCAACAAGCATATTAATCAGCAATATGTGCACTATGTTCGTCACCAACTTTTTGCCAACGATTGTGCGGAGTGTGGATGCCTCGTTTCCAAAAGCATTCGTGTTTTGAGCAGAAAAAAGAGTTTATGTCGTGTTCGAGGTCTTTTCATCTAAAAATCGTGACTCTTTCCAACAATATGGGCGTTGCGGAACGGAAAGAGAAGGAACTCAAGAAAGGTTAATTCAGCGCTGCACTGTCGAGCTGCGGAGCTAAATGTTGGAGTTTTTCGACCAACCCTTGCAGTGGAGCTACAGGAGAGCTCAGTAGTCAGCGTAGCTTTAAGAGTTAGAAGTTCCCAGTGCATATGCAGAGACCTTCTTTCCGAACTGATCGGATTTGACGACCGATGGATTCAACCACTGAAACTTCCACGTGTGGTTTACGTGGAGACATTACTTCGGTAAAAACTCCGGTAACAATGTTGCTCAAAGTTGCGGTTCAGTACTTCATGCGGTTGTTTATTCGCTGATCTCAGCTCATGGGTAATTTGATTCTTTGGAAAATCTATAATACTTTTTCTGTGGGAGTAAGAGCGCTATCTAATGTGTCCCTGGAGCAGTCAAGGACCTCAGCAAGACAGCGAATTGACTCACACGGATGGGCTTCAATCATGGTAACCAGTCTAAATACAACAAAGATAGGCCCTCTCCTGAACGAGGTTCGTCTCTCCGGTCAAGGCATCCTTGTTTCTTTACGAACACACGGATTGCGTGAGGCTGCTATAGTTTGATAGAGCAATGAGCTCGATTTCAATTGGTATCAGAAAGACAGTAGATGAAGGAATGAGTTCACGCTACACACTGAGCCCTTACCTGTATTACTTAAACTACTCAGTTAGCAGTTGAGCAGTATGGACTGGCGGATTTAGCGGAGGTAGCCTCTTACACATTCTTGTCAACTGATACTTACTATTACATCACCTGTCATCAACGTCCTTATCCTTCAGCCTTCATTATTTGGCAGTGTGGAAGCTGCACCTTCTGAAAAAGCGACGTCCCTTGTCAGTTTCTATCACTTGTTATCCCTTTCCGCCACCTATCAACGGTGTTCCCGTTCCAGCCTTCGTAGCCCCATCTTTGCTGCTATCTGCGTTATGAATCTGGCTACTTTTACTAGGGACGGGCCGTCAGGTCGGAGATGTAAATTGTAATGGTACCCATACCACCACATGTGCTTCCTAGCAATGATCTCGTTGTCAAATATGTATACGAAATTTGCAAAATGACTCTCCGAACGGAGTTATGAAGCTTTCTCTCTACGTTTCGTCGCAATAGGTCTCGGAACTCCGCTCCTCTTACTTTGAGTTTCATGCGAACGACCGGCAGAAAGTGATTTTAAGGGCACCACTACATCAGTGCTTACCTAAACTTGCCTGAAAAAGAATCCTCATGCAGTCAATACTGTGACTGAGCGCCCTGTTAACGAGAAGAAGTCTTGGGCGTACAGGTGCCCTTGGCGCATCCTAAAGCGTTCGTTTCAAGCGAGTATCATATTCACCACCAAGGGATCAATCTACGCGTGCTACGGATACAAGTTTCTGGGCAACTCTGAAATTCTGACCTGACCTCACCACTCAAGGGGTGCAGTTCGATACCTGTTATTCAGCGCACGCAATCGTTGTAGACATCACTGCGGAGGGAGTCCTATATGGCCGTAAAGGGGGAGAGCCATTGGCGCAGAGCTCATTCAGGAGTGGAGCAAGCAGCAATATTCAGATGTCGTGCGTCACCGAATGATAAAACAATCATTCATGGCTACTGCTATGAAGAACACCTGAACAGACAGTTGAAGGCAGGATAAGCTGCAAGCTCAGAAAAGTAGAACGCTAGGGTACAAGTGCGGTGGTCACCCACAGCGACGTCATAAGTTACAAACAAACAAAATACCCTATACGTTTCGACCTTTTCTAAACTGTGGGAGCGCATCTGTTTGCATGGAGGAGCCAGTTCAATTACACCTCTCCAAGACCTCTGCGTGGGACTCCGATACATGGTGTAGTACAAAGAAGATGGTAATTAACGCAAAATGAACTGTTTTCTTATAGTATAGACAAAAAGGTGGGTTTTATGGATATATTCGAGTCTGCAAACGAACTTAAAATTGTATTGCGCTGGAGGAGTGCGCTGTTCGTGTAGCCTCAAACTGTCCTCAACGATGACACAACGAGGACTTTTTTCACAAGTGGGCACGAAAAATGTGCTCTTGTGAGTCCTGCACTTGCTTTACTTTCACACGAAATCGTAATACGGGAAAGTCGTTGCGTGTTCAAGCATGAAACTTGTAAGAGACACTATTTCAACAAGGATGTCACAGCGGTTATATTTCCTTATAAAGAAAGTGTTTGAAACGACTGAAGTACAGTAAACTAGCACCGAACCTAGGACTTCGCAACACTGCTTTTCAGCTGAAGAAGTTCCACTCTCACCAACGTTGAGAATGTTCGAAAAAGTGCACTTCTGGAATTACTGGCCCTTTTCGCAAAATATCTCGGAACGGCGTGCTTCAGTGCCATGGTAGAAAGCAATTTGAACGCTCTTGCGCAATTTCTGAATGCACTCAAACTTCCAAAATTCGAGTATCCGGTTAGATAACAACTATTTCTTTTTGGCTGGGCGATTTATTTAGCAGAAATTTTACACGACGTGATCGTGTGCATGGTGTTCACACCTGTTCAGATACAGGTGCAATCTCCGTTACAAAGCCTCATCTTGCTATTTCTGGCACATTCCTTCCGTCAGTGCTTCAGTTTTCCTGATAACTGAAAGTGAATACAGTCCGAAGACAGGCCATCAATGAAAGATTCGCCCGAGAATCACTGGCTGCCATCATTCCCACACTGCTTCCTCTTTTTTCAAAGATAGGTCATCTTTCATTCGGTCAGAACTCTGTCCCCAGGTGATGTTGCTCCCTGGATACGGATACGAAATTCGTTGGGCGCGAAAACTTTTGCGTACGCTACGAGCACCTGTATACATATGTTTCCCGCACGTAACTTTACTGTTTGCTGGCCCTGTTATCTGAAATCAGTTCAGTTTTTGACCGAATTTTTCTTGGAGCAAACTCGACTAAAAAGTCGTCCCTGAGTTAGTTTGATGTGCTGAATATGAGTATCATACCCGCATGATTCAGAAACTCCTGGCGCCCATGCCACATTCACCGACGCTAAAATACCCTTGGTCACCAAACTTGCTAGAAACTTATTTCCAGGGTGAGTTTGTCCGCTGAACATGAATATTCAATCCCACCCGCCCACGATGAAAAAATACGGCAACGTACCCAACCCATAAGGAACGTTAAGCGCTATTCTGGAGCCAAATTGCGTCGGCGCTGAGAATAAGTGTCAAAATTGTGATTATGGCCATCGGTTACCCCTGCAGACAGCAGCAAATTTCCAGTCAAATTTCTTCATTCGGCTAGGTAGATATGTTCGGCAGTGGTGACTGGAGTCTCAGATCTTCGTGAAGACGATGACGTAACAATGACGTAGCGAGCAACCAAGCAGGTGTATCACCACTTCGGTGCGCCCAGGATTCCTTCATGCGTTGAAATGTGAAAGTGTGGGTGGCCGCAACTCCCGTGAAAAAGCATCCTAAGCGTACGGATAAACGTAAGTAAACGGTAAGTAGTGCAGGAAACATATGTATACACTTTGTAACATTTCATATCGCATTCACCACGCCTTTGCAATTCTAAATGCAGTCATCAGCATCCCAAAATGGTAGTCTTTGATGAAGTGAATTTTTCCTGTTGGCGTTCCGTCGGTTGTGACACTTCAGTAATTTCCCTCAGCGTACGCGACGACACTGTCGGCAGTCGTAAGCCAGTCTGGCTAAGCTTACCGAACGGGGCATCAGATTTGTATTTGAGTTATATTTCTCTTTCCTCCACCTCCTTAATTGTACGTGATGGCAGTCTATTCTTTCTTAAAGCGCTACAAAACCATCAAAATCGATCAACGTAAAGGTAGTAGCGGATGCGTAGCGGATGTTCCACTTCACAACAACGACTCACATAAAGTACCTATATGCCTCGTTCTGGAAAAACTCTGTCCAGGCGGAAAAAGCCTTCAAAGCAAAATTTCTGTGAACAACTTGGAAGAAAAAACTTCACAAAACCACCAGAATGTGCGCGACTTTAGTTTCCTCCAAGCTGTTCCTCTGCTACTGCGGAAGAATAATGAACGCTGGAAAATAGATGCCGAAGGTAAGCTTCGAAAGTTGCTTGATATCTTTATTGTGCGAAATTTGCCGTAATACACTATACTCCAGAAAACTCAAGACTATCGGGATGGTAGAACCCTTCGTGGGAACTTCTTTCATATTGATGCAAGCTTTTTTTGGTTCACGAGGACTCACCTTTCTTTTTACATCGATCAAGAAAACGGTAGTTCGCTTCGGTGCAAAGAATGAATTCAATTCTTCAAAATTTCAGAAACTTGACCACTATAGTAGCCCTGGAGCCATTGCAAAGTTCGCTGCTAAGAGAAGGTTCATATCTAGTACCTCATTAAACTACAAACAGGTTCATATCTAGTACCCCATTTAACTACAAACGTCACATTTAATGGAAACATAGTGCGGCAATATATGGTGTGCAGCTTGCCTTTAACATCAAATCTGGCACGGAACACTTCTCGTCAGAAACACTTCTCTGCAAACTCAGAAATCTTACCTGCTCCGTTTCCTTCACTTTAACATTGCTGTCCTTTACTAATGCCAAAAGTTCGTTGCAACGCTCATCGGCACGGCTTCGATCACGATCACGTTCCTCAACCTCAATCAAAGAATAATGAAAGGAGCCCTTTCCTGGATACACAAAAATTACCTCTCTAGTTCTTCGCTCTAAAGCATGTTGAAGTGACGTCAGTTTTGTATCAGCTCTATGGCGTTCCTCTTTTTCATTTTCGAGAGCGACACTGAAAGGAATTTCCAGTTTTGTGCAATCGCTGAGTCAGACGGGCGTCAAAGGAAGACGAGTCAAATTGAGTGAGCTCAACAGTGTAGAGGAACCAGTGCAAAAGTATCTATAAAAAAAGTCATAAAGTGAGTATTACTCACCGTACAATTTCCAATTCATGCTCAGCTTTTCTTAGTTGAACGCGCAACTTGGTTAAGTTCACGAACATCAATTGCGGGTCCTGAGTTGGTTACAGGAGGAGTGACTTTTGCGGTCGTTGGAGTTCTTTCTCGCTCTGCATCTACTTGCTCAACGATGTCTTCTCCAAAATCTGACCATCCACCCGAACCACCTGATCCTGGACAACAACGAACGGATAAACGTTTCCATTCATGTAGACACCAATGATGCTCTCACACGATGAAATTGAAGAGCGAAAAATATGAATGAATTGGCGGAACCTTTCTTACTGATGAGGCGAGGGTGGCGTAGTGGCAAGTTTACAACGCGCACGGTCCGGGGATCAAACCCTTGATTGGCTCCCGTCCAGGGTAACCTAGCCTTCCACCCTACAGGAATGATAAATTGGTACCAAATCTGTAGGGGAGGATAGAGCACTGGCCTGTACATCGGTTGGCCCCCGAAAATCATTGTATAGGCCACACCGCATTCGATAAGCCACCACAACTATGAATGGAAGTAGAATGCGTGTCGCATCCCGTAAAGGAATTAAGGTGAAGACTTTATCTTTTTTATTCTTTACCTTCTTTTCTCATCCTTTCCGCTTCTTCAACCAAGGACGACAACATTGCATTTTCCAGTTCCATACGGCTTTTCTCCAATGCTAATTTTTTAATTTCTTCCTCAGCACACTAAATTTGAAAAAAAACTATTATGGCATGTCAACTGCAAATAGAGTGCCGTTAAGCAGGAGGTACTTTTACTTTTTTTTTACTTTTTTCCTTATTCAAAAATCGCGATTCTGTTACGGAGTAGCCCAGGATCTGGGAAAAAATACGATTTCCCGTTCTCAGCCAGTGGTACTGGCGAATAATAATTCGAATTCTATGAGACACAAGCCATAACTCCCGATTGTTATAGGATTGAATTGTCGGACTGATTTGGGCAGAGGCCCGAGAATGGGTTGTGCACCACACTATTAGGTGGACACAGTTGCAGAAGTTGTATTTCTGCGCAATCTCACCGTATCGAACAATGTTTATTCAAAACGACGCCGGTGCTCCTCATGTAACACGGCTCCGCTTTGGGCGCCTTTTAACACGGCTCCGTCAGATGCAAACTTAACCACATTGGCGACGAGGCGCCTTTTCGCGTGTCTGCCGCGTGGGACAAAGCAGTTTTTCCCTATTTTCGAAGAATGCGCATAAATGCTAGGGCGTTTATACGCCAAAAAAATTGAAGAATGGTCAGAATTCATTGCAGAAGCTAGTAAGGCTTCGCTATTCTTGTTTACTTTCAAGATAAACCCTGAAATTTCATGGAATACTCCCGCCTCATTCACGTGCGGCGTTGTGGGAACAAGGCCGGCAAAAGAGAAATATTTTCGCGCCAGAGGTGGTAAATTGGATTCGATTCAGATCTGCTATTGTTGAAAGTTACCTTATCACATTAGCTATCTGCATGCGAGCTTCACTTCTATATATCCAAAGATTATCTTTTTTCCTAGGAAATTCCTTTCGTTTGTCTTCTCGGTAAAAATACTCTCAATTGCACTACTGCACGGTTTACAGCTACTGTATATTCTACAATGCCTTCATGGACAATATGCAGCTGTTGAAAACTCGAAAGTCTTCAGTTTGGTTTTTTACCCATGCCGCATCCCAGCGGTGGGACGCAATGTCCTACGCGGCAAAAAAGTGCATCCCAGCAAAGAGACGCAATGTCGCCGCAGTGCTAACCTCGCGCACTTTTTCTACTGGATGACGCACCTGGGTCATACTCCACAGCATACGCACTCATTTGCACACTTGATCAATGTTTCATCTCATATTATTGCATTTATCACCGCTGGCTCCATCTGATGGCAGTGAGGAACGTTGAGAAACGGTCAGGAATCACCGCCGCGCTGGTCACCGCGCGCGGCGTACATCGATTTGAACTTCTTTTAGCACGATCCATTTCACTAACTACGACTTCTTTACGCATGATTCGTTTCACTAACTACGACTTAACCTTTAGACAGCCTATTTGAGAAGGGGCTTTTTATACACGATATACATCTAGTGAATTTTTTCCGTTTCTACGCTCGAGAGTAAACTGTCCCATTTTCACATCAACAGGATAAATTTCGGAACCTGGAAAACGATCCAAGGAACGCAGCGTGACCATGGGACAAACAGCACGGTGAACATGTGCCAACACGTTTAGTCAAGTATTTCGCCGTTCTATCACGGCAGTGAATTGTGTCCGCTGATTGAGTACGCTGATGAGAAGAATGGTTGACAGTTACCGATCACTTCAACCTAATGAAAGACTTCGCTGCAAAGCTGAGCCTGTCCGGCAGATGTTAGGACGTGTCGCCAGACAGCAGACGGCCATTGCAACCGCAATCGGTATTCTGGAGAAATTTAAATTTCTTACGGACTATAACCCACCGAATGGGTGTGGTCCAAAACTCAAGAACGCAAAAACCGACAAATAAAACCGCTGATGACTGATTAGGCGTGGCCTTACAGAACTATGATTTCGGGTTGATTTTCTTTGCCTTGTCTTTTCTTTGTTCTGCTCAATAGATTGCCCTGGAACCGTTGCATGAGTTCTCGGATCTGTCTCGCACTCCTCAATCGGTGACCTATCATTGACAATCCATCTTTAATCCACTTTTTCCCCGATGTTGCAGTGCTCTGAAGCCGTCTTGCGAATTTTTAAATCAGGCTCCGCCCAGCTCGGTGCACGCTCCGCCCACAACGATTAACTTCTCAACGTGGACCACTTGGGACCATCATCCACTTTTTTCGCGCCCTCTGTCTGTAATGCTCTAGCGAGCCTCAACTACGGTTTTTTTAAATGAATACCTTATAATACGTACGTTTGAGGTCACGCCCCTCCCACTGTGGGCGGGTCACAGCACACCGAATATATGAGACCGGACTCTCGCCAGATGTTTGTCTTCGCCGAGTTACCGACATTTGTGGGAAGCACCGCCCACCTCGAGTACGCCCCGCCCATTTCGGGTGTGTGTCTCTCCATTTGATGGGTCAACCCTTTGCCAACCTTAATCCACTTTTCCCCAATCTCGGGACTGCCTTGAGTCGAATTATGAATTTTTTCAGTGAGACCGCTAACTTTCAACGCATGCCCCGCCCACTATGGGCGGGTCACAACACACCGCAGATATTATGGACTCTCGCCAAATGTTTGTCTTCGCCATGGACTTTTCGCGATCTCTAAACTTTCTCGGGGACTTAGTTACAGACATTTGTGGGAAGCACCGCCCATCCAGAGTACGCCCGGCCCATTTCGGGTGCTCTCGTCCACTTGATGGGTCAAGCTCCTGCTAACCCTGCCCACTTTTTCACCATCTCGGAGCTGCTCTGTAGGTGAATTATGAATTTTTTCAAAGAGCACCGGCCAGCACCGCCTCGATTCTATTAGCGCCCCACCCATTTCGTTGTTCTCCTCATTTGAAGAGTCAATCCGCTTTTGCCAAACCATGAAGCACCACTTTTCCCCCATCTCGGACTGTTGCACTCGAAGCCGAATTATGATTTTTTTTAGTGAGACCGCTAACTTTCAACGTATGCCTCCCCCACCGTGGGCGGGGCTCACCATAGGTTACGGTTGCTCATTACATCTTGTCACATGCCCTACCCATCCCAACCTTGACCCCTCCAAGTTGTTCTTCTGGTAGAAGCGAAATTCCGGACAGACAAACAAACAAACAAACAAGCAAAACAAACAAAAGACGACAAGCAATTACATATAGGTGGGTGATTATATATGCGTGGGCTGATAGATGAAGCACGAGACTGTTTAGTAAACAGATGGTCGGAGGAAGTGAAAGTGCTAAGGAGAAATTGGGAACGGTGAATGTGCAATCAAAAACCCGCGGTTCAGCTCGAAGGATAAAGAGTTCAGAAAAGAGTCGCTCCGCGCCACCTTCACTATACATCGGAGAACGTCCTCTTCATCAAGGCAGGAGTGTTGAGGTGGCACGAAAAACGCTTAACATACTCGTAATCGTAGATTCGAGATATATGAACCCACTCTACTCTATTAGTGAAGTAGACGTTGTCCCCACCATGCGTAGAGTGAGCTTTGGCCTTCCGATTTCACGAAGTGAGTCAGTGTTCTTTTAGCAGTTCTGTTTAGTCATATTTTATAGGATGATGCATATGTTTTCAACCCCGACCTTTTTTGTAAATGTCTCAAAAATGAACCAGCCTGAAGATTAGTGGTATGCACCATCACCATCCACTACTCGACGCCAGCGCTCAGGCAGCTTTTGGATTCCATCCTTCCACGACGACGGGGTTGGGACTGGAGGAAGTTGTCGAGTGCCGACGGGGCTGGGACTTGAAGAAGTCGTCGAGTGCCTTTCTGACCTGATCCTTTGTTTCGAACTTTTTTCCGTCCAGAGAGCGCTTCAGGTGGCTGAACAGCCAGTAGTCAGAAGGAGCGAGGTCGAGCTGTAGATTGGGGGGGGGGGAGGCATGGGCACACCACAGCCATTCGTACTTCTCCAGCTCGGCCTGGGTCGCCTTTGCGGTGTGAGGTCGGGCGTTGTCATGGTGGAAGTAGATTTCCGCATTCGATCCACGAGTACGGTCGACGTGATCTTTCAATTTCCGCAGCTGGGTCACGTATGTGGAAGCGTCAATCGTCTGTCCCTTCTCCAGCAGCTCCCAGTACTCCATGCCTCTTCTGGACCCACAGCAAGGACCTTTTGGGGTGAAGGTCGGCCTTTAGGGGCTGTTCTCCTTTACCGACCCATGCCGCTCCTCACAGGGTTATCGTAGAGGATCCACTTCTCATCTCCAGTGATCATCGAGTTGAGAAAGTGAAGCTTCTTTAATCGTGAAGCAAAACCAGGCAGTGGCGCATTCCGTGACAGTGGTAATTGTGCGACATTGTGGCCTGCAAATGCAAGGTGGGTGAGTGACAGCCAGTGTGATAAAAGAGTATAATGCTCACGTCCGTACACTTGATGACTAAATACCAACATCCATTCAAACGAAATACGTAAGGATCAAACATAAGGTTAAAATC